CCCCCCCCCCCCCCCCCCCCTGGGGCTTCATGTTCCATTAACTACATTTACCATCTGGTAAATGTCTTATTAACCTTTGTAACGTCAATGTTAGCATTCACACTCTCCACCCTGTTCTCCATACATATCTTGTGTTACGGATGAGGAGAATTTTTTTAATAATCAAGATCTTTTTTACCGGCTTATCAATTCCATTCTTTAAAACTTTTATGTATAATTTTATAAAATGTTGGCTACACTTGAAGGAGTTAACAGTACATGAAAATTAAAATCTATAACATTGCGATACATCAAAGTCATCTGATTTCTATTCATATGCAGCAGCAATGGTGGGGTTCTCTTGTATATAAAAAGAAAGTAACAAAAAAAGCCCAGCCAAACTTTTGGCTTATGACTTATAACAAAAAATGAATGGAGGGCTTTTAAGGTTGGAATCTTCCTTTTTTTAAGAGTGACATTTTTTTGTTATAATAGACACTTTTTTAAATTTACAGGTCTTGAAAGAACCAAAGAAGGTGATGTTACACCGAACGACTGTGAAAAAGTTGCTGCAACAGGACCGATGGCAGGTAATGTAATTGTTTGCTTTGTCAATTAAAGCAAAGACAAAATTTATTTTGCCGCAAAATAAATTTTGTAGAGTGCGGTTATTTTCTTCCGTTGAACAAGGGTGCTTTCGATTATTCGGGTGCTTTTAGCTTTTCAATGTTTAGTGTAGCATCTCCGAGTAAACTGACGTAAAATAACCGTTTCCCTCTCCCGCTTACAGGCCAAGCCATTTAAATTCGCTGCTAATTTTAAACTTAACAGGTGTTGAAAAAACCCAAGAAGATGACGTTCCACAAAATGGTTTTGAAAAAGATGCTGCAACAGGACCGATGGCAGGTGATGTCATTGTTTGCTTTGCCAGTTAAACCAAAGCCAAAATATATCTTTGCAGTAGAGTGAAGTTACTTTGTTCTTTTAAAACCACAGTAGTTTTTCTGAAATTGTCGACTGTTGTAAGCTTCAGTCCAGTGCACTGTGCTGCACCTGTCTTATGGAACTCGCTGCCATTAACTAAAAGAACAAGTAGGAGCCTCGCCATTTTTAAAAAGCATCTTAAAACATTTCTTTTTAGGAAAGCTTATAATTTACTAGAATAACTCTGAAGTTTAGTGCTTTGAATATTTTAATTTTAATTTTGTATAGAATGTTAGAATTTTTAGATTTTCGCATAGCATGGAATTTTTTTATTGTTGTTGTTATTATTAGCTGTTTAGGAATTTTTTTAATTGTAACTTAATGTTAAGCGCTTTTGAATATTTTATGGTTCTATCACTATACAAATTCTTTATCATCATCATTATAATTATCATCATCTCCTATAAAACTGGCGTGAAATAACCTCTTCATGTATCTTATTTTGTCCTTTTCATCTTCTGCTTTCAGGTGAACTCATTTTCCGCATACTTCAACAAATCCTGCTGGAAGCACGCATAGAGTCCAGCAAAACTGAGCTTTCGCAGGCTTTAAAGACGACTGCGTTGGAAAAAGGTTTTGCGATATCTGACAATCAAGGAGAGGGAAACTGCATGTTTTTTGCACTTTCAGAGCAGCTTGACCTCATCAAAGGAATTCAGATGTCCCATGATGAGTTACGCCGAACTATTGTTCAACACCTTCGGGAAAACCCCAGGCTGGTAAGTATCTTATTACCTTATTAGGGTGCACACATTTGCAGTATACGCGCATGGCCGTGGTATTTGCCCCCCTACGTTGTTTTGATTCCTTTTAAAGTTAAGAAAATAAGGCCCTGTCCATACTTTTCCGAAATACGGGATCACACACGAAGCGTATTTGAATCTTTTTCGCCCGTCCACATAAAAACGCTGAAATGATTGAAATACGATAGCATCCATTTACAGAGCATGCGCAATGTTGTATTCTAAATCCTCTGTATTCGTCCATCCGCACGTCGTTTTTCAAAGTCTCCACTCCTGGCACCGTTTGTGAAAACCTGCGTTTTTGGTGCCAGAAAATGCCGATCACGTGTGGGCGGAAGGCTAAAATGGACAAATAAATCCCCGATTTAAAAAAAATATATCCGGATACGTGTGCACGTGGCCCTTAAATTCCTGCGATTAAATGCGACGGCTTTACGGGTATGCTGCAAATGAATTCATCCTTTATGAGCAAAACAACAGCTAACTCTGCACGAGCACGACGCTTTGCTTCTTCGTCCACTCACTCACTCACTCACTCACTCACTCACTCACTCACTCACTCAATCAATCAATCAATCAATCAATCAATCAATCAATCAATCAATCAATCAATCAATCAATCAATCAATCTTTATTCCTCCTAAGATAAAAAGACATATCTTCAGTTACATTAGCAGTTGGGAGTCTGAAAGTACATAAGACATACTGTATACAAATACGAGAAAGATAAAAATACATAAGACATACTGTATAGAAATAATAGAAAGATCAAAGATTATATCTAAAAATAAGCCTATTTACAAAAGCATTCTTAAATGTATCAGTCTTTATATCCGGGCGATGAGCACTTTTGTTTCTGAGTTGATTCATTGTTTCTTTTTTCTTCGGAATGATGTTACTAAGCGGGCAATCGGGATCCACTCGACGTACCTTGAAAAGCTTCTTATCTGCCTTTCCTAAAAGTTCTCGAATGTCCATTCTCTTAAATGTGTATTTCCTTTTAAAGCATCTATCCAGAACGTTTTGTATGACCGTGAGATCTGAGTCTACAGCGCCATAAACAGGCAGACCATAACTGAAATTCGGTAAAATTAAGGCGCTAAATAGGTGGTCGACATCACCTTGACTGAAACCTCGTTTCCGTAGAGATCTTGATGCAAACAGACACTTATTTGCCTCAACCAACTTAGCACGTACGTGTTCGCTATATTTACAATTCTCCTGAAACGTAACACCTAAAATGGGCAGCTCAGTGCATTGCGGAATGTTACTAACTTGCACAATATCCTTTCTTGCGAAAAATAATTTCTTTACATTTCGACGGATTACAAATCATACTTTTTTCCTTAGACCAAATTCAAAACTGATCCACCAAATCCGTACGACAGTGGCCATTACTCCAAATGGGAACAATGAGAGTAGAGTCGTCCGCGTATTTAAAAAGAGCTGGGTGATTATCTATGCTGATTTCCAGATCATTAATAAAAATACTAAATAAGTACGGACCACTCACACTGCTCTGTGTAGTGCCCTTGTTCACACATTGCCATTGTCCTTAAAAACTGTTGTAAATAATGCACTGTTGACGATTCTCAAGAAAGCTTAAATACCAGCTGATTATGAATGGATTTAACGGTACACCCTTAAGCTTATAAGACAAAAGTTCATGATTAACCCTGTCGAACGCTTTACTGAAATCCATGGCAAACAAACGCACGGTTTTACACTTAGGGTCATCTAGAAACAATAGACGGTGTGCTGCATACTGAGGAGCGCGTCTATACAGCTCCCCCCCGTCCCGTAGGGAAACTGAGTTGAGCTCAGATGTTGCTGTACGACTACGACGCAAAACTTCCTTATGTGACGTTTTGTGGAGGGCATCGAACACTCGACGGTCAATTATTGTTTTTGGGCTTGGACACAGTCACTAAGGGCTGAAATCCAAGAACATTCGTCGACTTATGTCAAACTCACATTATTTTAATAGTAAACATCCATTCCCCCCTCTCTCTTACACGTGTAACGGACACCTCCCTAAAACCTACTAAACATACTCCACCTCCCTAAAAGTGTTGGTCCCTGCCGTTCTTAACTGTTGTTTTTATATATATATATATATATTTTTGAGGGGAGTAGTATAGGTCACGAAGGTTAGACACCTTTTTTGTAGTGGAATCTTATTACTGTGAAGTGGAATAAATTAACGTCGATTACATCTTTATCTCAGCAATAAAATGCGGTCGAATCTCATCAAGATAACGTCACGAGCTATTTTTATGTAGTATTTAGTATATTGATTGATTCTTATATTGATGATGTAACTTGTTGGGATCATGTCCTTTATTTGTGAGAATGATTTTGTTGATCATTTTAAATGGATGATTTTCCAGTAATCGGAGACTTAGTTATGCGCACAGGATTATGGGATCGCCAGGGGGGCAAACATTGCAAGTCGCTGCAAAGAAATGTATGGCGTGTAATTGTTTCTCCGTTAAAAAAGCAAAGTCTTTGGACATAGAATGCCGCATTTTGCCATGATTTTATGAGAAGCGGACAAGACTAATGTTTGTGCGTTGAAATTATAAGTTCTCGTGGGATCGATGCGATGAATTCTATCGATAAACACTTCTTCTTGCGAAAAGGTCGACTGTAACATTTACTGAATGGTCTCGAAATATATAGTACTAACTTAGGTATAAATGAGCGGGGAATGCGGACTCATTTAAGCCTTTCTAGTTGTAGTTACTTGTGCTGATATTTACAACGAGTGTAATTACGCTCAGCTCGGGGCGATCACAACGCTGTGCCGGTTTGTGACAACGATCAGGTACAAATAGAATTTGAAATGTACTAACTTTAAAAACAAAACCGTCTTCCCAAGTTGGTATGTTTATTTCTTCTCGCCGAAAAAAACGCTAGCAAAATGTTTTGTCATGATCCAGAGCAACAATGAGTTCTAATGCCTTTTCCAATCATTTTGTGGGAAGATAATGAATCTCTGAATTTCGCACATCAATTTATTTGCAGTTACACACTCACCGCTTTTGTATCGGAAATCTTACTCGTTTTGCGGCACTCTCTCGTACTATTTCTGCCTCATCCACTAATGCTTTTATACCATGTACTTTCCATGAAATATTTCGAAGATGTTGCTTTGTTTATACCAACGTAGAGGAGAATTTTTTGTTTTTATGGCCACGTACATACCTTCGATTGTTGTCTTGTCACAACCCCCACAGCGCCGCATAGCGCTGATCGCGGCCGAGCGTAGTTACACTCGTTGTAAATATCACCACACGTAATTACAACTGAAAAGCTTAAATGAGCCCCTACATTTATACCTAAATTTGCACTATATATTTCGAGACCTCTCATGTACATAACTGAATTCAGTAACCACAAATTTGACTCTCAACCTCAAGCAAGGAGTGTTTATCGACAAAATTTATCGCATTAATCACAAAGAAACTTGAAATTTCAACGCACTAAACTTAGTCACCTCCCCTTCTCATAAAATCACGCCATATATTTTCTCGCAATGTTCGCCCCCTGGCGATCCCATGATCCTGTGCGCAAAACATGGGTCTCCGATTACTGGAAAATCATTCATTATGTGGGTCATGTCTTCATTTGGTGATGAAGACACCTGTGACTTAAAATCACTGAACCATGACGCCCTCAGTGTCCATTGCAGGTAACTGAGGGTGTGTTCACACTGTACCGTATATCTTTTTCGCCGGCACGAAAATCAGTTCACACATAAGAACGGGGATTTCGGCGCGATTTCTGTTAAACGGAGAAAAGCTGTGCCTCGCCGATGTCTTAAGTGGAGAGTCACATATCGGATAGATGTCGTGTCTTCACCAAAGGTTATCCGGTATAGTGTGAACATAGCCTTATTGTTATTATTCCGGTTCACTGATTTTTGGCGCGCAAAGGAGATAAAGACGTCACCGACGTTAATTTATTCCGCTTCAAAAAAGGGTCTAATGAGTGCCTCCTACACTACTAAAGTGGACAAATTTTTAGTGCTTATACCAGCGGGGTCCGCCTTAGAGAGAGTTCACGACAGCGCAGCTGCCTGAATTTATACCTTCTACAAAAGCACTCTACCTTTTTCTCTATTAACTAAAGTATTTTCTTTTTTTCTTACAGCCGGATGGGACAGAATTGTTTCATTTTGTTGATGGACATCCATCTTGGGATGCCTACCTCACTAGCATGATAAAAGATGGTACTTGGGGTGATCACGTGATTCTACACGGCGCTGCAAACTGTTTTCAAACTTGCATTCACGTGATCAGCAGTCTTCCGCATCGCCATGACGTAATGATCTGCCCAGAGTTTGATGTTACTAGTAGCAACCGGCTTGTGCTGGGTCACGTGTACGAGCTTCACTATGTTAGCCTTATTCCACAGAAAGGAGGTAAAGATGACTGATAATACTGTGATTCAAGAGTTGCTAACTCGCGTTATGAAATGGAAGACATTTGACCTTTATTGTGGCACCTTATTTGCAAACGTGTTGGAAAAAATAAGAGGTCTATTTTTTCTTATTACGGTACAATTAGCCGTTTCAATAGACTAATTATTCATAACAAAAAATTTTCTGCCTCAAAAAATTCCTGTAGCACCCTCAATTACTTAAATAAATTACTGTAGTGTTCTTGATAGATCTTGGTTTTAAGGGCCACCACATGGGCTGCATTCCCGTGTAAATATTCCATCATTAGACCCTGTTCTAACTTTCGACCTGTATCTAACCTAAAGTTTTTGTCTAAAGCTATTGAAAAGTTGCAGCCATGCGTCTGAGGGATTGTTTGTGTGATAATGATCTGAATGAAAGTCTCCAGACTGCTTATAAGAAACACCACAGTTGTGAGACAGCGCTTCTACGTATTCAAAATGATATACTAAAATCAATCGATAATGAACAATGCGTCGTTCTCTTGCTGCTGGACCTATCAGCAGTCTTCGACACCGTCGATCATAAGATCTTGTTACAGAGACCTCGATCCAGGTTAGGTACGAGAGGAAAAGCCCTTGCGTGGCTTCAGTCTTATCTTACGGATCGTCCCTAGTCAGTTCAGATTGATGGATTTACTTCTTCAGTTCGTCCGCTCAGACTTGGTGTACCCCAGGGGTCCATGTTGGGTTCGTTGCTATATCTCTTATACACGGCCCCACTGGGTGACCTTATACGATGGCATGATATGGAATTCCATCTATATGCTGATGACACTCAACTGTACACACCGTCAGTTGTGATGATAGCGTTGATCTTACCACTACAATTTCCCGGAATTGAAAGCTGTCTTGTCGATATCACTAACCGGATGACTACTAACAAACTGGAACTAAATAATGAGAAAACGGAACTTGTCATTCTCCATTCTCGGTTCAGACTGCCCCCCCCGCGGCTTCCTTCTATTAAAATAGGAACTGATATCATCAAGCCCACAAATAAGGCGCGTAATATCGGCGTCTTTTTCGATAACACCATAACGATGTCTTTTCATATCAACAATATAGTTAAAGGGGCATTCTACCACCTTAGAAATATGGCCTCGTAAGTATATCAATGTTACAACGGCTGAAGTTTTTGTGCACGCATTCATAAATTCCAAGCTGGATTTCTGCAACTCGCTTTTATATGGTCTTCCTAAGTATGATATTAACAAGCTGCAGAGTGTCCAAAACGCTGCATTATTATTATTATTATTATTATTATTATTATTATTATTATTATTATTATTATTATTATGCGATCGCTTCAGAAATATTGTCGTTAACCTTTTTAACCTTAATGTTAGCATTCACATTCTCCGCACTGTTTACCATAGATATCTTGTGTTACTGATGAGGAGAATTTTTTTAACAATCAAGATCTTTTTTACCGGCTGATCAGTTCCATTCTTTAAAACGTTTATGTATAATTTTATAACATGTTGTTGGCTACACTTGATATGACTTGAAGGAGTTAAGGGTAAATATAATTAAAATGTATAACATTGCGATACATCAAAGTCATCTGATTTATATTCATATGCAGCAGTAATGGTGGGGCTCTCTTGAATATAAAAAGAAAATAACAAAAAAGCCCAGCCAAACTTTTGGCTTATAACTTATAAAAAAAAATGACTGGGGCGCTTTTTAGGTTGGAATCTTCCTTTTTTTAAGAGTGACATTTTTTTCTTTTAATCATCACTTTCTTTTAAAATTTACAGGTCTTGAGAAAACCAAAGAAGGTGACGTTCCACAGAACGACTGTGAAAAAGATGCTGCGACAGGACCGATAGCAGGTAATGTAATTGTTTGCTTTGCCAATTAAACCAAAGACTATTCGGGTGCTTTTAGCTTTTCAATGTTTAGTGTAGCATCTTCAAGTAAACTGACGTAAAATAACTGTTTCCCTCTCCCGCTTACAGGCCAAACCATTTAGATTTACTGGAAATTTGAAACTTTACAGGTGTTGAAAAAACTCAAGAAGATGACGTCCCACAGAATGACTTGGAAAAAGATGCTGCAACAGGGCCGATGGCAGGTAATGTCGTTGTTTGCTTTGCCAATTAAACCAAAGCCAAGATTTATTTTTGGAATAGAGTGAGGTTCGAAGAAATAAAAGGTCCATTTTTTTACATGCATAGTTTTTTAATCCGTCAATTTTCTTATTACGGTACAATTAGCCGTTTCAATAGACTAAGTATTCATAACAAAAAATTTTCTGCCTCAAAAAATTCATGTAGCTCCCTCAATTACTTAGATAAATTACTGTAGTGTTCTTGACAGAAATTGCTTTTAAGGGCCACCACATGGGCCGCAGTCCAGTGTAAATATTCCATCATTAGACCCTGTTCTAACTTTCGACCTGTATCTAACCTGAAGTTTTTGTGTAAAGCTACTGAAAAAGTTGCAGCCATGCGTCTGACGGATTGTTTGTGCGGTAATAATCTGAATGAAAGTCTTCAGACTACTTTTAAGAAACACCACAGTTTTGAGACAGCCCTTCTACGTGTTCAAAATGATATACTGAAATCAATCGATAATAAACAATGCGTAGTTCTCTTGCTGCTGGACCTATAAGCAGTCTTCGACACCGTCGATCATAAGATCTTGTTACAAAGACTTCGATCCAGGTTTGGTACAAGAGGAAAAGCCATTGCGTGGCTTCAGTCTTATCTTACGGATCGTTCCTAGTCAGTTCAGATTGTTGATTTACTTCTTCAGTTCGTCCGCTCAGACTTGGTGTACCCCAGGGGTCCGTGCTGGGTTCGTTGCTATATCTCTTATACACGGCCCCACTGGGTAACCTTATACGATGGCATGATATGGAATTCCATCTATATGCTGATGACACTCAACTGTACACACCTTCAGTTGTGATGATAGCGTTGATCTTACCACTACAATTTCCCGGACTGAAAGCTGTCTTGTCGATATCACTAACCGGATGGCTACTAACAAACTGGAACTAAATAATTACAAAACGGAACTTCTCATTCTCCATTCTAGGTTCAGACTGCCCCCGCGGTTTCCTTCTATTAAAATAGGAACTGATATCATCAAGCCTACAAATAAGGCGCGTAATATCGGCGTCTTTTTCGATAACACCATAACGATGTCTTTTCGTATCAACAATATAGTTAAAGGGGCATTCTACCACCTTAGAAATATAACTTTTTAAGTATATCAATGTTACAACGGCTGAAGTTCTTGTGCGCGCATTCATAAATTCCAAGCTGGATTTCTGCAACTCGCTTTTATATGTCTTCCCAAGTATGATATTAACAAGCTGCAAAGTATCCAAAACGCTGCAGCGCGTGTGATTACTTGCTTACGTAAGTTTGATCATAATAGCCTTACTCTAAAGGAACTGCGTTTGCTACCAGTGGAGTAAAGAATAATCTTTAAGATTAATCGTTCATGTTTCAAGATACTCAACAATTTAGCTCCTGGTTATTTGGTAGACCTTCTTCTTCGTTTATGAACCTGCGAGGTACCTTCGCTCATGTTCAGACGAATGGCGTCTGGTTATTAAACCCTATAGCTTAAAGACATACGGGGTTAAGGGCTTTTTCAGTCATTGCCCATTTTCTCTGGAACGATGTGTCTATTGATATTAGACCGATCGATGATGTGAATAAATTTAAATCTAAATTGAAGACCTTTCTTTTTATGCGAGTTTACGAACTATCTTGGGTTTTGATTTTGCATTCTTGTGACTATGTAAGGATTATATGTAAATGATTCTAGGATTTTTGTCTTTTATCCGGACCTTTTTAAAGCATTGTTAAGCGCTTAGCACTGAAAAGTATAGGTACTATACAAATATTTTGGCGTCTTTGTTGTTGTTGTTGTTGTTATTATTATTATTATTATTGTTATTATTATTATTATTATTATTATTATTATTATTATTATTATGTGATCGCTTCAGAAATATTGTCGTTAACCTTTTTAACCTTAATGTTAGCATTCACATTCTCCGCACTGTTCACCATACACATCTTGTGTTACTAATGAGGAGAATTTGTTTAATAATCAAGATCTTTTTTACCGGCTGATCAATTCCATTCTTTAAAACGTTTATGTATACTTTTATAACATGTTGTTGGCTACACTTGAAGAAGTTAAGGGTAAATAAAATTAAAATTTATAACATTGCGATAAATCAAAGTTATCTGATTTCTATTCATATGCAGCAGCAATGGTGGGGTTCTCTTGTATAAAAAAAAGAAAGTTACGAAAAAAAATCCAGCTAAACTTTTGGCTTATAACTTATAACAAAAAATGAATGGAGGGCTTTTTAGGTTGGAATCTTCCTTTTTTTAAGAGTGACATTTTTTTCTTTTCATCATCACTTTTTTAAAAAATTTACAGGTCTTGAAAAAAACAAAGAGGGTGACGTTCCACAGAACGACTGTCAAAAAGACGCTGCAACAGGACCGATAGCAGGTAATGTGATTGTTTGCTTTGTCAATTAAACCAAAGACTCTTCGGGTGCTTTTAGCTTTTCAATGTTTAGTGTAGCATCTTCAAGTAAACTGACGTGAAGTAACTGTTTCCCTCTCCCGCTTTCAGGCCAAGCCATTTGAATTCATTGCAAATTTTAAACTTTACAGGTGTTGAAAAAACCCAAGAAGATGACGTTCCACAGAATGACTTGGAAAAAGATGCTGCAACAGAACCGATGACAGGTGATGCCAATTAAACCAAAGCCAAAATGTATTTTAGCAATAGAGTGAGGTTACTTTGTTCTTTTAAAACCACAGTAATATTTCTCAAATTGTCGACTGTTTTAAGCTTCAGACCAGTGCACTGTGCTACACCTGTTTTATGGAAGTCGCTGCCATTAACTGTAAGAAAAAGTAGCAGCCTCGCCATCTTTAAAAAGCATCTTAAAACATTTCTTTTTAGGAAAGCTAATAACTTACTAGAATAACTCTGAAGTTTAGTGCTTTATATATTTTAATTTTAATTTTTTTATAGAATATTAGACTTTTATTTTTTAGATTTTAGCATAGCATGGAATTCTTTTATTATTAGTAGTAGTAGTAGTAGTAGCTTTTAAGGAATTTTTTTAATTGTAAATTAATGTTAAGCGCTTTTGAATATTTTATAGCTCTAGCGCTATACAAATTGTTTATCATTATCATTACCATTATCACCATCTCCTATTAAACTGGCGTGAAATAACCTCTATCTTATTTTGTCTTTTTCATCTTCCCTTTACAGGTGAACCCATTTTCGTTGCACTTGAACAAATCCTGCTGGAAGCACGCATAGAGTCGTGCAAAACTAAGCTGTCGCAGACGTTAAAGAGGACTGCTTTGGAGAGAGGTTTAGCGATTTCTGACAATCAAGGAGAGGGAAACTGCATGTTTTTTGCACTCTCAGAGCAGCTTGACCTCGTCAAGGGAATTCAAATGTCCCATGATGAGTTACGCCAAACTATTGTTCAACACCTTCGGGAAAACCCCAGGCTGGTGAGTACCTCATTATTTTTGCTTGAGTAGATTCATTTCCGAGCCGTAAGCCGTCGCATTTGCCCGCTGAATTTTTTTCATTGCTCTTAAGGTTATAAGTAATAAGACCCTGTCCACACATAGCGTATTTGAATTTTTTTTCGTCCGTCTACATAAAAACGCTGAAATGATTGAAATACGATAGCATCCCTGACAGAACAAACGCAGTGCTACTAGCATACAATAAATGACATCGTCGTATTAGAAAACCTCTGTTTTTGTCCGTCCACACGTAAACGAGAAGTCGACGTTTTCAAAAGTCTACTCTGGGGACCGCTTTCTGGTGACCTGTGTTTTTGGTGCCCGAAAAGGCCGTTTTCGTGTGGACGGAAGGCTAAAAATACCCTGATACGTGTGGACGGGGCCTTAAAGTCCTGCAAGCAAATGTGGCGGCTTTACGGGTATGCTGCAAATGAATCCACCCGTTATGAGCAAAACAGCAGCTCTGCAAGAGCATCACGCATGTTTGTACTTTTCTTCGTCGTCCACTGCACGAGGTGAAACTTCCTAATGCGACGTTTTGTGAAGGACCTCGAACGCACGGCGACCAAGTATTGTTATTGGATCGGGATGCTGTCCTTAAAATACAAATCCAAGAAATTTCTTCTCCTTGTTTTAATTTACAAAACGCGACATAAGGACCATGAAGATTTAAATTAACGCAAACTCGTTTCCTTTAATCACATTTTTATCTCGGAGGTGTAAATGGAAACCGATTTTAGGAAATCTGTTTCTGTCGCCTCGATCGTCTGACTTATGTCCTAATTTTTATAAGTAAGGTAATGTTCTCTGAAAGCCGCTTTGTTCTAACAGCATATGTCTATATAGTGAAGTGAAGTGAAAACTTTATTTAAAGAGGGTAAAACTTGACAGTTATAACATCAACTAATAAACTTGAGGTCCTAAATACTGGTTATATATGTAAGGTTATTTCTGACCCAACTTACTTGGCCAAGTCGAAATTTCCAAACTTTTATTATTTCTTGTTAAAAACCTCTTCCCCTCTCACTCACACGTGTAACAAACACCTCCCTAAAACCTCCTAAAGTACTTTCCTAAAAGTGTTGCTCCCTGCCGTTCTTAATTGTTTTTGTTGGACTTTTTACAAGGAAAATAGTATAGGATACACAGTTTAGGTCTCGTTTTTGAAGTGAAATCTCATTAGCATGAAGTGAAACAAATAAGTGTAGATGACATCTTTATCTAATGAATTAAATGCGGTAGAATCTCATCAAGATAACGTCTAAGTTATACGATCTATTTTTATGCAGTGTCTAGTATAACCAGTTATTCTTACATTGATGATGTAACTTGCAGGAATCATGTTCTTATTTGGTGTATTTGGTGAGAATGCTGTCATAGTTAATTTCATTGTCCATTCCAGACACCCTTTTGGCCTGGTTCCGGTTCACTACTAAAGTGGACATATCTGCTGTAGTGCCGATACCAGCTAGCGGGGTCCGCCTTAGAGATAGCTGACGACAGCGCAGCTGCCTACATATATACCTTCTACAAAAGCACTCTACCTTTTTCTCCATTAACTACAGTACTTACTTTCTTTCTTACAGCCGAATGGGACAGAACTGTTTCATTTTGTTGATGGATATTCATCTTGGGATGCCTACCTCACTAGCATGATGGTAGATGGTACATGGGGTGATCACGTGATTCTACACGGCGCGGCAAACTGTTTTCAATCGTGCATCCACGTGATCAGCAGTCTGCCACATTGCCATGGCGTAATGATCTGTCCAGAGTATGATGTTACTGGTAGCAACCGGCTTGTGCTGGGTCACGTGCATGAGCTTCACTATGTTAGCCTTATTCCCTACTCGAGTGATTTAAGGCATCCCTCCGCACTCCATTTTGGGCTTTTGTCATTCTTTCTTGTTTTGTCCGCCATCTTCTTTCATTTTTACTCAAACATATGTGCTTAAGTTTGAAACCATTTTTGAAGCTCACACTGTGCCTCTTAAGGTCACGTGACCAGTCACGCCTATAATAATGCAAATTAAGTATTTTCAGAATACGCTATGAAAATGGCGGTTGAAGCTCCCGTTTATTTTTCCATAGTGTTAAGTTTAAAGTCAAATTAAACGGAGAATTTGCAAAATATTTTATTCCTATGCAATTATCAAATGTTTTCTACTCGACACAGTCCCACTCTCAACTGGAAACGTTCACTCAAAACACCGATTAATTCCATAAACCTTTTGTTAATAGTCATTGAAAGAAAACAAAATAAATCTTAACTAGTATTTGTAAAATGTCGTAAAATTGGACCAAACTAAATGGCAAAAAATGGGCGTGACAAGTCACGTGACTAAGGTAGCTCCTTAGTGACAAGGAATGAGAATATTTTCAGTGAACTATTTACCGCATGCAAAGTTTCAAGTCGAAACTTTAAATCTGCTTTAAGCTAGACTACCCCCTTACAAATTTTAAGAGACCCATTCCTTAATTAACCTGAGTTATGTCTGATTACGCTTCAGTTCAAGAGTTCTGACCTCGCGATATTCAATTCAATTCAATTCAATTCAGTTCAGGATCAAATCAGGTTTTGCTTCAGATTTTGCAAATCAGGTTTGCTTCAGGAGCAAATCAGGCTAAGAAAGACCATAACTGGAGACCTTCTCCTGTAATCGGATTGGTTCCATCAAAATAGCCAAATGTGCTATTTTTAGCGCAAATTGTGTCATCTCGTGCGACACGCGCATTTTTTGCAAGGCCGCCGCGTAAAGGATAAACAACCAACGTGTGGAGTCGGAAATTGCCTTCGTAGGAGATGAATGTATTCCACTTCTGTCATAATTGCCTCCTCTGAATTTGAGGCGGAAAGTTAACAAAAACAACAGATAATTATGGTTAATATTCCTAAAATACATCTTTGAATTCATGATAAATACAGCTCTACCATTTTTAAAACGCGTCTACCGGCAGAATTTCACGGAAATAATACTTTACATATAATAATTTTCCCACTTAACGTTCTCCTTGGTAGCGTAACGCAGTGGTCTAGGAGCCGACCTTCCGTGAAGATGGTCCATGTTCGACTCTCGGCTAAGCTAATTTTTCTTTGTTGTATAATTTTTTTTCGTTTGTTTTTGTTTCCAATCATATTTTTTTCCTTGGCTTCTTTCCGTGTTTCTTACTGCTGGTCCATTACAGCCTCTCGAGATTTTTTGCAGTAAACGTATTTCTAGTGATGCTCACATAATATTGGCTTATTCTTTCACTGTGTATGCATTGCCTGTCGAGATATGAAGCACTTGGAAAGTTCAGAGAGCACTGGGAGAAAGTCGCAAAACGATCGCCCATCTTCTGAAATTCCACAAGAGAGCCGCGCAAATTTGCGTGTTCCCAGCGAGTTTTTGATGTTGAGGGTGGCACGGTTTGTTCTAAAAATAGTAAATTTGGCTATTTCGATGGAACCACGTGAACCCCGAGCTTGCGGTCTCCTACCCCGATTATGGTTCCTGGAAGCTCCTTATATTATTCGCTAGGCTGTTGACAAGAAACAAGACGTCTATTTTTCTTCATGTACAGTTTTTTTAATCCGTTGATGTTATTGTGACGGCACAATTAGCCTTTTCAATACAAACCTTTTTTGTCTCAGAAAAAGTCTTATATGGTCGTATTAAGTACTACGACAAACTGATTACTGTAGTATTCTCAACAGAATTTGGTTGTTAGGAACCACCATGTCTACAGTCCCCTGTAAATACACCTTCATTAGAATTTATTGTAGTTTAAGTCCTAGCAAAGTGTGTATACTAATTATTACTAGTTTCTCTGTCTGCGAGTAATGTCGCCGATTATTATTACTGTTTGCAGCGTGTGTGAACACTGGGTCTTACCGTCTGTGAGTATACAGGTCAGAAAATTTTTTTTCTAGCATTTCTACTGGCATTAAGGTGTTAAGAACAGTTCTGCTCCAGCCGTTTCTGGCATGCAGTCCCTGAAAATATTCAGTGTCGGGTTTAGTCCTAAGTATAATTTGTTCGTAAAGGATCACTCGTATCTTAAAGTGTTCCTTACCATAGAACATCATGAGTCAAAACACATTTCCTTGTTTGAGGTGCTCCTTATCAATCTGTGGATCGCGATATTTTTGGCAGTTAGAATAGCTGTTTCATAGAGTTGTAATGATTGGTTAAGGATCATTTCTGTCTGCCAGTAATCCTTATCTAGTGTCTGAATACAGAAGACTCTTATCACCTCCCTTCGTGGGGGAACACCAATTCCTTATCATACTTTGTAAGTACGTTTTATAATAGAATTAACTTACCAGAATATTATTTTATCTTATCATGCTATGTAACCACGTGTAAATATTTAACAAAGACCGCTGCTTATATATTTTGGTGCATCAAGTAATATAATTTATGGAAGATGCATTTAGGTTTTATCTACCTAGTTACTGAGAGTCTTTTTACAATCAACTATAGTTTAAATACTATAAATTAAAAGTTATACATTTTGAATTAATTATTAGACTTAGTTTAAAACACTGCTAACAATGCCGGCTTTATGATACAGACATCATGATCTCATTCTAGCAGCAAGTCACGGGAACGGTTGGAAAATTCGTTATACGTCGCTGCAAATTCCTAGTGAATTTTGCTAAAACTTCTTTTAGTATTCTTCTCGTAAGTTAAGTCCTTTTTAAAAAGGAAGTTGTACAAAGTATTTTTTGCATTAGTTAGGAAGCAAAGTAGCAAAGTGTATTTAGTTTGAAACTTTATAAGGTTGCAAGCTGTGCAAAATTTTGCCTGCCGTATTACAAGTGGAACCCGCAAATACCATCATATCACACCCTTTCTTAAAGAACTGAGATGGTTACATGTCGCAAGCGAGCTTTGCTATCGTAGCGTATGGCGTTTAAATGTATGTCGGGCTGTGCCCCGAATATCTTTCTTCACAATTTATTAAACGTACGGAAGTCAGTAATCGTAGAACTCGCAATTCACAAAAACTGAACATACCTCTTTTTGAAACAGCAAGTGGACAAAGAACTTTTTATTACAGAACTCTAAGTTTATGGAATTCCCTTGACCCTTCTCTTAAACTTTGTAGAAATGTAAAACTCCTTAAATAGTCACTTAAATCAAATATTGCAGGAACTATATGAGACCTTATTTTCTCGGCTTTGAACATTTGTATATATTGTAATCTCCACTATAAATAATGTGTTTATTCCGTGGTAGATTTCTCTCTTTTTATTATTAACATTCTTATCGCAGTAGTTAGTATTAGCCAGTTTTTTTTTTTTCTTTTTTGTTTTTAGGTTCAGTTACAAACAATAAAAAATTCCAGCAGGCAAATGCGACAGCTATACGCGTATGTCGCAAATGAATCCACCTAAAGTCAGCTTGTTAAAGGGGATAGATAGAGGTCCCAGTCACGAATAAGGACCCTGTTTTCCTTCATTTCACAAATCACGTATCTAACATCCATTGTCGCAAAAAATGATATCTATTGACATCTCTATTTCCGATACGCCCGTTTTTGCCATTTAGATCAAAATTTACGACGCTTTGGAAATCAGTCGGTCTTTCGTTCTATTCATTCAACTGTGACGGCTCTTCTTGAGGCCACGGATACGTGGGCATATAATATTGACCTTGGCAAAATCAATGCTATCGTATTCCTAGATTTAAGAAAGGCTTTCGACACAGTGGACCACGAGATCCTTCTATCAAAACTAAACCTGTACGATATTAATGGTATTGCGCATCAATGGTTTCAGTCATATTTAGAGGACCGCACACAAATGCGTTCCATCAATGGTCACCTCTCTAGCAGTTGCTCTTTAAATTGTGGTGTCCTTCAGGGTACTATTTTAGGTCCATTATTGTTTCTATTATATGTTAATGATCTTCCCAACTGCCTGTCAAATTGCGAGCCTCGGATGTACGCTGATGATACCCATCTTACATACGCGAGCAACAATATTCACAATATTCAGTTTAAACGAAGACTTGTAAAATGTTCAAAATTGGCTAAGAGCAAACAAACTCACTCTAAATATGACTAAAACCGAGTTCATGTTAATTGGATCTAGGCAGAGGCTAAGTACTGCAACAGTTTCCCCAGCACTTGCAATTTAGGATTTTCGAGTTACCCAAGTCGCTACGGCTAAATCTCTTGGAGTGACCATCGATGATAATCTCGATTGGGGTCGCCATATGGAGAAGATAATAAAGAAATTTTCTTCTGGCATCGGGGCCATAAAGCGAGTAAGCCACCTTGTCCCCCAAGCGAACCTATAACTAATTTACCAAGCTCTTATTCACCCTCACTTCAATTATTGCCATACTGTTTGGGGAAACTGTGGGGTAACCCTAAGGAAAAAACTTGAAAAACTACAAAATAGAGCAGCCCGTGTTTTGACATTTTCAGACTACGATGAAAACGCTGGTTACCTGTTTGAACTCCCAGGATGGAACAATCTAGCGCGCCAGCATGAAAATGAAAAAGCCACGATGGTTTATAAGTCTTCACACGGGTTAGCTCCAGAATATTTATGTTCAAGGTTTGCAATACGAGAAACAGCATATGACTTTAGAGACTCTGATAAAAACTTTGCATCCCTTTACCACAGACAAATTATTACAAAAATAGCTTTAGAATTAGTGGCGCCATCCTATGGAACAAACTCCCGTGTAATGTGAGGTAAACAGAGTCCCTTACGAAATTCAAATGTCTTCTTAAACAAGTACTCTAGGGCACGGCATTCGTGGAAAGCTGCTTTTTATTTAATATTTTTTATAATGTAGATAGTTTTTAATGTTTTCTTATTTGAAATCTATCTATCTATCTATCTATC